CAACATAATTAATAATCGATAATCATTTATGTAGTTAATATCAGTTTCAAACACTGGAACTATTTTTTAAAACGCAGTGTTCGAGCATTTTATTATTGAGTCGATATAGCACATTGGAACTCCGCATGGCCTAAACGTATTAGGAGCATCCATTTGATTTTGGGGATGGGGGATGCAAGGGGATTTTGGTTGGAAATAAGATTTTTTTAATGTTTAGGCGCTCAATCATTTTTTCAACATAAACAGGTGCTCAATTATTTTATAATGTTAATATGAATAACTGACTGTATTCTTTTCAGCCGTTACTATAGTCAACAAGAAAAGGCACATTTTTTTCTTTTTCCAGCAATGCGACGCATGTGTAATTTTGTTTACAGTAAAAGAAGGCTTGATTATTTTTTAGAAAAAAATCCCAACCCCATGGTATGTCTGTCATGCACAAATCTGTTTAAAGGTAACATTTATTTTCAATATTGTTCCCAGGTAAGAACTTCACGTTTTTGACAATGCACTATAACCTTTACGTTTTACTTATGTGTCTATTAAAAAAAAACACCGACTGAGCGTGTAAAATGTATTTCGTTTCTCGAATGGCGCGTCAGCTTCATACAGGAGGAAAATTCACCCAGATCGTAGACATTTACCCTGAGAAGACAGTCGGCATTGGTAGCTTCCTGAGAGCCGGGCTTGCCTCCCACACCAAGCTGACACGCCGTGATATAACTGGAATACTGTTCAAAGCGGCGTTAAACCAAACTCACTCACTCACTCATATGCCACGCGCTTAACCGGGTGCGGTTTATTCGAACCCATAACCAGCGGATCAAGGCAACGAAGGGACACAACTCTTCGTCATGTCGACCAACGAGCCACCCGTGCCACCCTTTAACAACGTCCTGATAACACCCTTGCACCAACATGGTATACAAGTAATCGTGAGGATGAAATCATCAAGTATACCAACTTCTAACAAGGAAAACAAAGTCATATTAATCCATTAAGCCGTCTTGAATCAGGACCTAAGTGTACTGTACGAGAATGTCCGAAATCGCATCATACCCGTGATCCGGAGTAGCTTAGGTCTTTAGCAACCCACACTTGCCGCAATAGGCGACTATGCTTGTCGTAAGAGACGACTAACGGGATCGGGTGGTCAATCTCGCTGACTTGGATAATGCATGTCATCGATCTCAATTGCGTGGATCGATGCTCATGATAATAATCACTGGATTGTCTGGTCCAGACTCGATTATTTACAGGCCGCCGTCATATAGGTGGAATATTTCTGAGTGCGGCGTTAAACAACAAACCAACAAACCAACCGAAATCGCATCCAGCACTCCAAGGTTAGGGTTACCTTACTCTGCATGCAGTCGGTTTATGACTGGACCATCTGTGGCATTGACATCGCCCGTAAAACTGTCCGGCAGTGCTTGCTACAGATCCTCCTCTTCATTGCAATCTATACCGTTCTCTGTTTGGGAAAAGATTACCATGGAGGTGTAATGGGCAACACAAGTCTTAGTATTGATGGGCCACAAGTTTGCTGACATTTGTGAGCCAATGTACTGTTTTCGTGAGGTTTTGTTCCAAGCACGATCAGTCTGCCCCCGCAAATCTCAGCGAGTTATTGCTATAATGTTTCCTATTCTTAAATAAACGTCTTGTGGTTATATGGCAGGCATCTTCATTGTAGAACATGTTTGGACAAGTGCTGTTCTGGGGCCTGGTAAACCAGGACTTCGTTATTATGGCATAAGCTGCTCCGACAATTAGTATACTTTATTGAGGGTTAAGAGGGCCTGCTGACTCGTTTCAACAAGGACGATTGAAGTTACTTGTGTTTATGTTTTGATGGGTATAGTAAGAGGTATGTGATGTTGATGGATTGTGGTAAAGTGGTCGACATGAGAACGAAATTAAATATAAATATTCACGTATAATTCTTTAACTGCTAAGTAAACGCTAACCTCAAATTAGATCTTAAGCATGAAATACAGATATGAACAATTAGCTAACCGAAATAACAAGTTTCTCGTGTACAGAAATATAATTTCGAAATTATTTTTAAATAAGTTGGAGAATTTGCACATGAAAAGCCTACAGCACATAATCTTTGTCGTCGTTTTTAAAGCTGTTGGTCAAAGGTTAAGCAACCTCAGAATTGTTTTAGTAAACTGTCGAAGTTTACTTAGTTGATGTACTGTTATCAGTGATACCTTTTGATAATTTTTGTTGGAAATGTATGAATACTTTGACCACTTCTTTTCGCGAATCTTCAATTTCTGTCATCAACAGAAAGTGGCAAAAATAGTCTTATTCTCTGTCTTGACGTCATTATTAGTCGTTACTGTTATCAAAACTAACAATATTTGTTTTGTTGAAACAATAAATGGTCGCTGAACATACGTATGCTTTCCCCCGTGTGCACCGGTTCCTGATATGATTAACCAGTAAACCTGCTCTTTATGTATAACAATAATGTATTTATCAATATTTCTCAATGAAAATAATTGAGGCACTGGCAACCCAGTCGTCTCAGGCGCCGCATTGCGATCTGCAGAATTGATCCCTCAGTATGCCAGATACCAAAGATCGTTAGATTTTGAATCTCAGATTCGACCTGATTGTGGTTCTAGGTTTGTCACCACATGATGGTTGACGTCTAAGATTTGTATCACTTTCGACTTTCGGCTCCCATCAGTCCAACACGCGGTGCTGTAACTGAAATACATGTCCAAAGGTACGTTCAAGCAAACTCGGGACGGCCGTGTAGCCTAGTGGTTAAAGCGTTCGCTCGTGACGCCGAAGACCCGGGTTTGATAGCCGACATGGGTACAATGTGTGAAGCCCATTTCTGGAGTCCCTCACCGTGATAGTGCTGAAATATTGCTAAAAGCGGCGTCAAACCATACTCACTCACTCAAGCAAACTCTCTCACAATTTGAAACGTAATGGCTGTCTTGGGTTGAGTGAACTAATAACGCTGAATCAACAAGATCACACAAAGCCATAATGCAAAACAAACGTGAGCATGTATACTTTACCTCTATGCTTGTATTGAACTGATGCCAGGAAAAATACATTTATCATTTATTACATTACGAGGTAGGCCCTTCCGGTAAAGGTATTGTCTTCATTGGTACCTTGACACATGCGTCTGTCGTGTGCAATGTTTCCATTTAGACACTCATTATAGCATTGTTACATCAGAAATCTTCTTATGAAACTGCTAAAAATGAGACTCGGTATCTTCGCTAATGCGCACGACACGTATTGCATATATAAATCATTTCATCCTGACTTCCAACATGAATAAGCTTATCCAAAGAACCTCTTTGATCTACTCCAGTCCATTTGGTTAAAGTTTTATCACAACGTGGCTACATGTCCGAGACAACAATTAATGCGAATCTCCCTTCCTGGCGATAATGGCTCTACCCGTGATGTGCGGTGTGATCCTATAGCGGTAATTGGAAAGGTCTGATTGCCCTGGTCACGAAACAGACCGACAATTCACCGCCATGTTCAAATCCCCTTGCCATTCTGACCACGATGGTAATCGTCTCCAAAGGCTATCATTTAGACACAACGGTTAATGGTAGGAAAATAGCGCTACAGTGAATCCAGTGTCCTGAGGAGAAAGGTCGAGCTGCAGCTCATTTAACATAAAAATTAGTATTCACTCACAGGAACCAATTCGCTGACAATATTAAGGTCGACCTTGCTTTGCCGTTAGGTCCATATCGGCATGCTCGTCACGGCGACAATCATTTTAAGCCTGGACTGTATCATGAAGATCTTAATTGAAGCTGCTCTGAACAAGGAGGGAACTACAGAGATTCCGTGATCTACTGCTCTTCCCTTGTTGACACTGAGGTCCAGCTAGGATTAGCTGTCCTGTGAAAAAAACCCACTCATCCCTTTTCAGTTTTATCTTTGTAAATGTTTGTGTTGCATTGAAGACCTTGATGCATTTGAACATTTTTTTGTATTGACAGACGCATGTCACCAAAGGAATGAGAAGTTTCATGAAAAAAATAATGTTACGTGTGATTTAATGGATTTGTTTCAATATCGATTCCTTGGAAATGTTTCATTGGCGTCGTGGAACGATGCACTAGAATCAGGTTTCATGAAGCGATCTTAGTGCTAAGGCTGTACCGTAGACAATGGTGTATAAATTGTGAAGAAGATGGATGAGTGAATCGGTTGGACACACATGTGAAGAGTATTTCATATGTATACTGAAACGACTTGTGAGCTTAAAATGACGGTTTTGTGTTGCAATGTTGCTTCGTGAGGCTGCGCCAACATATTGGTTTCACATCGTCTCGAACAGTGACTTAGACGTCTCATGACGTTTCAGCTCAATAAGAGAGGAAAGTCCAAAGGGACACAGGTCAATGCTGATAGTGAATGAATATTGTTTTACGCCAATATTTATTGGTATTCCGGCAATATCACGGCAGAGGACACCACAAATGGGTTTTCACACTGTACCCATGTGGGGAAACCGTACCCGAGACTCCAGCGAGAAAAGTGAACGCTCAACTACGAGGCTAACCCACCGTCCCAATGGTGATCGACCATGGATCAGAAGCAGCAACCAACAATCAGCTTAGCCTAGCATGGCCTTAGATCACTGGGTTTAACAGAGGCTCAGATGTCATACTGTTACGCTCCTTGGTGTCTCCTTGGTAACTTGGTTTATGACCAATTGCTTCATACCAGGGCACATAAATTTCACTCGTCTCGTCCACTGAATCGGGTCTGTATCACACCAAATCAAAGATGCTTTATTCTGAACGCAGACACTCTCCAGATGTCGTGATTGATAAGTGTTTTATACCGTTTTTAAGCAATATTTCAGCCAAATCACGGCGGTTCTCAAAATGAATAATGTTGGCGTTCTTTTCCAAACACACGGTACACGAGGCATGGATCAGGGAATATATAATTAAACGTTGATCGATGATCATTATTAAAAAGAAAGTCAATTTGAAATTTAAAAATGTTTATTATATGTCGTTTTAACAAGATGCAATGTACCTCGTCTGGCCCACACACTTGATAGTTGACTGATAATGATATCAAACACACGCATGCGCAATGCTATTAGCTCACCTGAATACGGCGTGTGCAGTTTGGAAGATCATAAAAATATTTTCTTGGTAGAAAATTCATTTGATTGTCTCAAAAACAAAAACACCACCAGTGTCATTATGAGACTGTCCATGCGAAACAGCGTGACTAGAACTGTTTGATATTATTTTAATCAGGTGAGTAACAGCGGGTCTCAAAGGATTGACTTTCAAGGATATTGCACTTTTTGGCATATAATTGGAAATAATTTAATGAAAACGGTAATGAAATTTACAAATCTTTTGTACATAGTAAAACATATTAAATAAACTATATTAAATGCATAAATTACAAACCATAATGTTTAAACAACGACAAGATACTCGCTACCTACTGTAGATCATATGTTCAATTAATTTAACCAAACTTTGTATCACAGCCGATTGCTGAAAGGTCTTCTCGAGTTGCATAGCAGTGCTAACTAATGACAATAAACAAATAAATAACAACAAAGCAGTAACATTGGCGAGTTCATGCATAGTTGTGTAGAGATGGAAGGCACTTATATGGAGGTTCATTTTCTGGCAGTCCGGTCATTCCTCGCCAAATGGCAAGCGTCCAACAGCACTAGCGATAAATAGCTATATCGGTATAGATGATGGCGATAACGCTATATTCAGAAGGGTAATTATGTTGGTAAGCAAATGTCAAAAATGGTTCATATTCAGGCGAACCATACGGGAGATGCTTCCCAAGAACATGCGTGCCAGTTTATAAATTCGAACATTATTTCTGATTGTATCTGAACATTTGTCGGAACCCAAATGACCCATTAATATCGATCGAAATATTTAGATTAACAAGAAACACGTATGTCTATTACGTGTTCGCCTACCTCCAAGGAATTCAACCTGGTCAGTTATAATGTTAGGACGTTGAACCTTCTAGGTCTTTGGTACGATTCTACACAACATTTGCAGAGAGGAAGGAAACAGAACACACAGTGACGCATATTTGACCGCTGGGAACGGAAGACTTTGTCACGAGCGCCATGAATCAACCTTGAACTGTTAACCGCAGTTGCAAGTTTTTATCATAGTTGCTTAAGTTTGCATAGTCCAAAACGCCTATCATAACATTTCAAGGTAATTTACTTTTATGTTACTCGTTTTATCATTTCCCACGAAACCAATATTTACATTTGAACTTTTTAAAATCCATAATATCAATGGTTTCGTGCCAACGGGTTCTGAAAAGCATCATAACCAATTATCTAAATGTATATCAAACCCATTCCCATTGGTGCCAAAACGGTATCCACAATCAAATCAGCAGGATTTCTCCACAGCAACACAAGTGTGTTCACAAAGATACCTGCTTTTGAGAACAAGTTAGTTTGTGTTATGTTCTTGCATAAATATTGCAGGTATGATTTTGCTTTATATCAGCAACAAATAATACAATAAGTTCTCACAGTTCAAGGTTGTCGATCGGCGGCTATAACTTGTCAATGTTATTTAGTAGGTAACACGTATTTCGGGACAAATCAGAAAAAAACGACAGCAATGTTGGATGTCATTTAAGCAATAAACTAGTAAATGAATGAAGCAAATGTCGATGTGCTACATGTTAGGCAGCTATGAAAAAATAATGCAAAATGTACACGATAAGAGAAAAAAAAGAATGTTAACTGCTGAATAAATTAGTAAAAAACAAAGATATTGCATCTATAACAGCCTTAGATGTTTAACATTCAAAGGGAATTTAGTAAGTATATATAACATACTCTATAGAAAACAATGGGATCAATATTCGGGCAGAGATACAATGGGTGATTGAAACAGGAAATGAAATGAAGTTATTTCAAGGCCAATAAAAAACATTGCACGTGCATGTTCAGGAGAAAATCACATCAAAATTTGGAATTAAATGAAAATAATTACAATGAAAAAATGGAAATTCAACCACTCTTACCATAAAAGCGTCTCAATACTCGTTATCAGCATTTCCAAATTCATATCAAAACGAAAAAGTGTTTACAATGATACTTGTTGTTGACAATATAGTTGACGATTTTACAAATCAACAATTTTGTATACACAAACGTTTATAGTTTCAAAACATGAATGGCAGCAGTGAAGAGTGATAATCTTGTACATATCACAAACCAAGTTCTTGAAAATCGATCTAGATAACATGTATACATACTGATACTTTGTTCAGCACAATCTTGTACTTACATTCTAATGAACATACTGAGTGACATCAGACACAGATATTAACTGTCTACGGCAATAACAGGGTAGAATGACTAGTTTCCAAATAAACGGAATTTTGGAAATCCACAATGTTATGAGACTCTGTTATGAGAATGGTGACTGATTGAAACACGCATAGTCGTGTATGAACACAAATCACTATCTAACTATTGGGCCACAACTACCGAGGCTAATTGATCTAGTCTCCATTATCCGAGATCTTGCAAAAATATGTTAAATTTATATAGTAATACTCTAGTGCTTGTATATGTAAACAGCACCATGTTCAGCTTAGCTGAAAAGTGAAAAATCTGAACACAAACCAACGACCATGTCCCATTGCAAGAAAACACTAAAAGTCGAGTTCAAAATCTTCAATCACATTTTCTGACCACTCTGAACTTCTTGTGCCATCAGACCGAACCGCGAGTACACAAGCTCATCCGAACCAGGGCTCGAACTCCTGTAGGTGGGAATGAACGGACGCTGCAAGTCTATGATATTACAAAGCAAAGACAATGCTTTTGTAATTAGCAGATGTTACAAAAATAGTGTGCAGAAGATTTAGTGTGTAACAGTTACAATGTGTGAAGATTCTGGCCCGACCAAGGACTAACCAAACACTATAGGCAATAGCAGTCATTACAGTGTTTCGGAATGGTACTGTCACGGAAGAGATCTGACGTCTCAAATATCGCATGGTTAGTAGTATTCGTCAATTATTGTGTTCATAACACTCTCTGGTATCTACAAGGGCAATGTGCTGTCATTCATGATTTGTATATTCAATAAAAAACCTCAACATAGTTAACAAAACGAAAAACGCAAATCTTAAAGAAAGTTAATAATAAAGCTGCAATATATGACAAAACTAGCTTTGTAACGTATGTACGAAAATATAAACTCAATCTATAGCACAAGTTGTGCATTGCTACTAAACGGAAATAAATAGCAAATAAGATATATGTTCAAACAAAGCGAACCACGCCCAATGAAATCTACATTTGTATAAACTAGCAATAGACCACAACATACCAATTCATTTGGCGTCGGAGTCTGGGTGACGATTGAATGAAGACTAATTAATTATCTTCGTGTAAAACACATATCTACTAGAAATGAATCGATGCTACGTTAAACGGAAGAACAAAAAGCGAATTCAAACGTCTACACATGCTAAGTAATATATATTGCCTCTGTGAATTAATATGTTAGCTGTCAGTCACTCGATGTTTTGTATACTTATATCCAAAAAAACAAAAACAAATATGAATACCTTTACAAAGTACCAATTTGAGGGTATATTTATATTCCCTTTACACAAGTCATGGTTGGTCAAGATGTTTAACGCATTGCATATTGCCGTGCAGAGTTACGCCCCTTAGCTCCTTGGGGATACGAATCTTACATTCGCTTTGAATCTATTCTGGGATACTTATTGCTTGTGCGGTGTATTTTGTGTCACCAAAGTTGTAAACGTCCAGGACATGACTCATTTTGGGTTCATGTAAAACTGAAACGCCTTTCTTCTACTAAAATGCTGTTCAAAGCAGCTTGAAACCCCAATCACTCATTAATTTTACAAAACATCCGACGGACAAGTATTGATTTGTTGTGGTCATAAATATATTAAATATACTGCTATATACAAGTCAGTATAGGATAGTTCCATACTAAGTGAGCAGAAGTTGGTGAGGTAACAACTATCACAACCCTCTCATCGGCAAAAGCCGGGCTCATTTGGATATCGACACAACCAGAATTTAACCCGTTACTTCCCGTAACAGCCAATCAGAGCAATTCTTTGTAACCATAGCAACCAACAACAATAGATCACATACGGGGATATCACAATCTGAAAATACGAACGAAACATATTTTTTCGAGCAAATTAATGATATGCATCTATAAAACTGTATATCATTTTATATATATGATAGCAATGCTGCTGATAGGTTGTTACAAAAAAAACACGAAAATTTGTTTATTACTGAATACTCCACACTCCCTTTTTTAATGAAGGATTACTCCAGTACGTAACAACTTTGATTAAGGTAAATACTCTTACAAAATAAGCGTTACTTTAGAAAACCAAGTTAACAACATTACATTCGTTAGTACGTCATTCATCACGTGAAGTCTGCACTGAATATAGTTAAGTATACTTTGGATTTAATAAAATAAAATAATATTTTCTTATCCTATCACATATACACTACGTATGTGTACCGAATCACAATAAAATGTCATTAATGAAATTCAGACTAACATATCGACCTGACTACATTATTATGTCTGTCGCGAGTACAAACGCATAGAAAATCACGAATGAGAGCACATTTCCCTAAACTACATGGCTTCAGCCGAAACTATGGTCAGAGGACTACAGCCGATCTTACATGGTCACCTAGCGCTTAAATGCGCCAAAGCCAGTCTGTAAGCCTTTCATGGGGTTCATCGTCCGACAATCATCGGTCGTCCATCGTCCATCGGAAGCGCCATGACCTGGTCATCTAATACGCGCACGGACAGCAGACCATCGTGTCTTGGCACTGTTGAGTACACAAGGTACTAATGCAATATATCCGTCGGTTCTGGCGCTTACACATCTTCCCCTTCCATATCATGGCCATTTCCGGTAGTGTTACGAATCTGTATAGACTTTTTGCTTCTGTACATGTCCCAAAGTCCAGAAACGATCTCCGCTACAACAATATCACTCGAGTTTTTGCCTATGAGGCGAAGTGTAAAAACACCGTCATGTCGAAGGTATTCGATAGTGAATCTGTTAGCTAGCTTTTTATCAGGACCTGTTCCTAATCGGTCCATGATTTTTAAAAACTTTTTCACATACTGCATCCGTGACGTTGGAAACACCATATGCCACAGCCAAGAGACAAAACTGTAACAAGTAAGTATTGATACAAACACCAACCAAAACCACATGAAGATGTAGATTTTCTCATTAAATAAGTTGATAGGCAGCACACATTGGACGGAGTGACGATGGATATTCTGCATCTGTCTAATGTCAAAGTCACACATTGTCACTCGTGGAAATCGGTGCGATGCCGTCCACTCATCACCAACGATGAGGTCCTGAAGAACCTGGAATCCATAAATATTATATTCTGTGGACAAGAATTCATTCAGCATGAACAACTGACCAATTGCGTTGGATATGTACATCACCTTCATGAACAGGTACACAGCTACCAGATAGTTCCCGTACCGCTTACCACAAAGAAGAGACAACTTAGCCGACAGGATGTGTCTCAGTTGTACACAACACGTATGCCTACTCTCCCTCTGGTTGTCCAAACACCTGTCAATATGCCTCACCACGTATTTTATAGTCCTTATCCTGATCTCCGGACTCTCATACTGGGCGTCACTGGCCAGACCTACAATCCTGTCAACGTTGATGCCAGACTGACCATTGAGGAGTCTCCATATAATACATGGGATGTAGAACATGAGTGCTTGGATGAGGAGCACAACTGGTACCCACTGGTAGTAGGTGAGCTCTTTTTCTGTTCGCTTGTGATGCTCAACTGGGATGACTTCATTCATGGGGATGTAATATGTATTGGAGATCCAGCAGATGTTGTTCGCGTAGTCGACATGAGCCCCTGTGAACTGGGCCGGACACCAGCACCTGATTGGGTCGCCTACGTACTGTCGAGCACTGACGACCACTGTGAAGATTATGAGTATTCCTGTTGTATAAAGATGGTTCACTCGGTCAATCAGATCGTCATCATTGCGAACTTTTACGTTGGCAACTCGTCCTACAGACCCAATAATACTGTCCATCCTGTAACAAAGATGAGAATACGTTAAAATACTGTGTCTTTTATATAGTAATAGTCATCACAGTATTTGCATTAAACACATCATAAATGCATACAACATATTAAGACTACACATAGCTTAAGTCAGTTACATTTATTTTGAACAAATTTGAAGACTTACACTGACACATATCTGGATATGTGTCACATCGTATTACACGCATGTACATATTTATATACTGTACTCGACATGGTATGTAAGCGCGCGCGTATCGTCTTGTAGGATTGGTACGCGGTACGTGTTTTCGTAGTTTGACGTCAAATGGACATACCCTGGCATGCGTCCAGTCAGGAGCATGACACCAGACATAACTCAACTCGACGTCGTTTGTGATTGTATCGAATCCAAAATTATCAGCACGGTCATTCCACTCGTTGCCATTGACAACGTGTGTTCGGTATCGGGGAACACATGTAAAAGTTGAATGGCAAAATAGTGAATACTAAGAGTGATACAAACGGGGAAGCGACTTGCGATATTTATGTCAACAATAAGGTACCAAACATCTGGAGTTCATTCTCGGTAGGAAATATTGACAGTGTTTTCCCGTGTGGTAAATAATCTTGCGGTTATATACGGGGAGGCAAAACAGTTTCGCGGGCAGGTGTTTAGTCTATGATTTAGCTTCATATATACAGGTCACTAAATAGGTCAGATATCTATTTTAACCTTTGGCGTATGCTTGCGGTTATGAGATATTTCCATACATTCTTTTCCAGACCATGGTTCTGTTACGGTGTCTGAGTTCTTATAACGTTCTGACCACATGATTTGTTCAAGGAAGCTTAAAACATCTTTTTTATTGACGAATAGATTGTTCAATCAAAAATAAATGCAGCAAAACATGTATTAAGGACGCGAGATACTCGTAGCGGCAAATCCACTTTGGAATAACATGACAAACACAACGCAATCAAGACAAAGGTAATTGCATTAAAGAGTCCCACGGTTCATATATAACTTATTTTGCCAAACCTTTCCATATTTCTGAAGATTTTAAAGCAATGAGTAATGACGTTCGGTAACAATCGGACAAAACAAACCGAGTTTCTCAACAGTTACCACGTGAGTATCAGAGAAACACTGATCGATTGTGACAGTTATTGGATAGAGTATTCGCTCCAAACCGACAATCACAGGCGAGAATCATTGACTAACTCAGTTGTTTGGAGCGCTCTGAGCTAAAATAATAACGAACTAAGACAAGTCAGATAGGGTTATCTAGCAAACAGGTGCTTCACATAGCAGAGACCTATGCAGAGTCCTCGGGGTGTTCAAATACCATCTTCTGAGGTCCCGTGCGAGGAGAAAGATCATGCCTTATGCCCTTTGCTATTGTAAACGTATAGGGTGTTTGGAGCCTCTCGTGGCAGGTACAAATAGCATTATTGCTTTCATATGGTAACTGACATTAGGTTGGGTGATAAAGAGAACCACTACATAGAATCTGATCTTTGTGTAAGATCTACTTCTTTAAGGACGAAATATGTGAAAATCGTAACTGTTAGAGGGATGATCAGGGAATGAGAAGAATGATATATGAATATCGAACAAGTAATAATCCGAATGAAACACGTTCGGAGGAAGTTATCGAGAACCTGAACACTTCACATGTTGTGGAACTCACACCAGAAAAACGAAAGCCAATAGAAACGACTCTGATAATTTCAAAATTGTAGTGTGTTTATATATAAAACACGAGATCGTATCTTACTTTAAAGACAAATCTCGATAAGGCGCTTATACCTTCGAGGTGTTTTTACCGGAGGCGAAACTTTAGAACACGCGTGAAAACTATTTCCCAAGCTGGAGAACAGCCTCATGGAGTCGGTCGACGGTAGCTGAAGGCTTTCTATTGCGAGGTATGAGGTAACGAGGAGGATCCCCATGCATGTCCGTACCAAGAGGTTTAGCGAGGAGATGACTCATCGCCACGGGAGTGGAGCATGGCGCAATCCGCGATAACAAACGGAATATTACTAATACGTTTCCTATAATACACGTGAGGGGCCTGGTCAATGAATAACGTAGGTGTGATGAATGGAGCAACTGGGATAGGGTGTGTGGCATCATCGTTGGTACACCATACAAGGAAGGTATGAAGAGTGATTAATATGCATAAACTATGCGAGCTAAGTAGCTACAGCTGGGCGTGTTCTACAAATTTAGCAAACATTTTCCGAGCAGCGTATTGAACTGAGGTTAAATATTGAGTAAACAAATCATATCATTGTTAACGATTCACTAACATGCTATGATTTAAATGAATTACTACCAACAATTAACAAGAAACAAAATCCTTTTATGATAAATAAATAATATACCATGCATCTAGTAGATTAAGTCAAAACTATTACAGAATACCATGAACGTTAAAACAGAAACAACAAATACAAAAGTAGGAACGAGAAAAAGAAGGAACAGCAAACGATGTGTGTGTTGACACTTACCCTTTACAAAGAAAAGCTGATGCGAAACTTTGTATTCCCAAAATCATGATTCAATTTAAAGCATCCTATACACAACAAAAGTTCTCATCCAGAAACTATCGGTTAAAGTTACCTCGTGCCGCAATCCGTTTCTTAATATTTCAAAATCCACCAAGTTTACATACAGCCCCATAGCTAGGCTCTCACACAAGGCAATATGGACGCGGGGAGATGCTAGAGTGCGAAACTGCGGAATGTAAAAAACGGATCCGAAACTGTGGCTTCATGCTGAGTAATATGTTCCGTATTAATTGTAGTGCTTTCTTTATATTCACCCACGTGTGGAAAGTGAAATATTGAGACTGATCTGACTCACGGTTTGAAGGACTGAACGCGAGATAAGGGAAGGGATTTATGCTCATCGCTCGCTGATAAAGAAGCCACTCAAATGCCACATAGTTATTTCAATACACGCTGATTCGGTGTATGTATGAGTAGAGCTTTTTCTGCCTTTTTCGATCAGTAAAGAAAGCCGCGCAAAAGATCATGATTGATAAAGCTTGTTATCACATTGTTCGCGATTCAATGGCGTTAACTCAACAGCACAGTCACGCATTAAAACGTCAATATTTTGAAATCAGCATAAAGGATTGCTCACGGCTGTGACTGTGCCAGGAGCTCAGAGGGAGACGTTCGCTAACATTTCATGTACATCACCCGACGTTTCTACAACCATGGATGCAGTGCATGGAAACGTCAACATAAGGTTCGCGTTATTTCCATATTTCGATGCCACAACTTCTCATTACAACCACGGATTCCTCAAACACAACAAGGGATTTTGTATCCATTATATCCCACGCTTTCTTGCAGGGGCCACAATGGTAACAAGGCACTGAGCACTAAGGATTCCAGTTCAACAGTGCTTAAATGTAACGACACACGGACAGATGGTTATCGTGAAGTCACGTGATGAAGTGAAGCATGCAGACAGAGATGGGGGAATGGGGGAGGGGGTATAGGGGAAGAGACAGAGTATCAGGATAGGTCAGTACCAGGATAGGTCAGCATGCCAGACTAATGGATGTGTCATAGGAGAGGTGGGCTTGGAGTTTGCAGGCAAATGCATGTCTGTGTATGCGCATGCATGCAATGTTTCAAACGTGCTGGTGTGTCAAATAACTGTTGTCAGTTTACATCCCTGTTCCTTTGATAGATTATGTACAGCCCGCTGTCATATACCTGGAATATTTTTGCGGCGTCAAACAATATCCACTCAATCATTTGGGTATACTGCAGTAATATCAGGTGTTCTGTAAGAAGTACATCTTGGGTGGTACATCTCTGGTCATGAGAATATAGAACTTTGTTGTTTCGTTTTAACGTTAAACATAATTCCTATCCTTTTCAACACAGAATCAGGGGCGGTGGGAGAGCCAAGTAATTAAAGCGTTCGCTTGTTACGCCGAAGACCCGGGTTCGATTCCCCACAATGTTTGAATCCCATTGTCACGTGTCCTCTGCCGTGATGTTGCTGGAATATTGCTAAAACAGGTGAAAAACCATACTTACTTAACACTGGATAATCGTTTTTCCGTTTTTGTTCATTAATCTGCCTGAATTTGAAATTTCGTACTTGAGTTTTAAGATTATTTTGACAAGATGTTTTATGTATATCTACCCAAACGGAACTTGCAAGGTGAAACATTATTACCACATCACAAACTAATCTTACCGCAGATTTGCCATCATTCGTCAGTGATCTATTTACGAATACCGATATCTCCGTTCAAGCAGTCTTTTACGAAATCTCATCTCATGTGAAACCGACTCTTCCAAAACGCGTATATTTAAAGACAACATCCTTTGCCTGGTCCAAAGAAAACTAATATGGTTCTCTTGGGACACCACAAAACAACCCAGAACATTAGGCACTAAACAAGGACCGCCATTTAATGTCCTAATTACGTCCTATCTGAACGTTGCACGTGCAACGACTGCAATAAAGCAATGCAAATAAATTACAAAACACGAATCGAGGGGACAGGACAGTTGAATATATTTCCAAGGAATTGATTTTATGACAAAGGACTGTCGTACATCGCTTGCATCCTCGGGGTTACTGTGTTGAAAACACTGAATAGAAGTAATATTAATTAACTATTAATAATGTAGTGCCATGAGCACTCACTTGCTGAATGGAATTTGGCGCATTAAAAACGCACTTATTATTTTAAACTAAGAGTTTATATAATGGGAGTGTTAAGGTGGCCTTATATTTCTATTGTATTGCCTTTTGTTTGTATACTGGTGTCGTATTGTCTGCCGGTCCTACTATGACTTTGTGATCGAAACTGTGCCGTAAAAATAGGATATTTGTCGAGACGATGGAGAGACATGCCAATTATAAATTAAACGGCATATCAATCATTTATTCTCGTCATCAAAATGGATTTAAGTGAAAAACATTAAGAAAATGCGAAAATGTAATCCCCGCCCAGAAAGGTTCTCATATTTATTGATGCGAACGTGA